CTTGGCCAGCCGCCTCATACCACTGGATAAACAACCAGGTGTCAGACCAATTGGGATCGGAGAAGTGGCCCGTCGCATCATCGGGAAAGCCATCCTGCGATGCGCCTCATCTTCAATACAGAAGTCAGCTGGCTGCCTACAGCTATGTGCGTGTCAAGAGTGTGGCATAGAAGCAGCAATACATGCTATGCAGGCGCGTCGGAACGACTTTGGAGTTGGGGCGGCCATGGAAGGGGGGTCCGGGGGTCGTCCCGCGGGCAAAAAATTCAAAAATTAAAGCCAATTGCAAGCATTTCCGTGCATTTGGTGCCATTTCAGTGTACGGTAACTACAATGAAAGACTTTTTGATTCTGCAAAAAACCAAGAAGATGCTACGATCGGGGACAAACATTACCCTCCCCCGGGAAAAAACTTCCAAAAATTGAAGCCAATTGCAAGCATTCCCAGGCAGTTGGTGCCATTTCAGTGTACATGGACTTTTGATTCTGCAACAAACCACGATCGGGGACAAGGATTTGCCACATTTGCGCTGAGATCATCGCGCTTTGTTGCAGTGTGCTAAAAAAAAAAAAAAAAAAACCGGCCGAAAAAGTCGCCGGGGCGGCCATGACCGCCCCGGCCGGTGCGGTTCCGACGCCCTTGCTATGCAAACAGCATTTCAGGAAGACGAGGCGGAAGGCGTTCTGTTTGCAGATGCGTCAAACGCATTTAACGCCCTTAACAGTGCTGTCTCACTGCACAATATCCAGCACACCTGCCCCACCATTGCTCCGGCACTCATCAACGGCTACCGCAGCCCGACTCGGCTGTTTGTGGATGGTGAATGTCTCCTGTCTTGTGAAGGCACCACGCAGGGAGATCCACTAGCCATGGCTATGTATGCCCTGGCAACCGTTCCTCTCATCCAGGAAGTGTCTCAGAGCGGAGCACTCCAGTCGTGGTATGCAGACGACTTCACTGCCGCTTCCACCATTCGAAAGCTGCATCACTGGTGGTCACTGCTTAAGGGGCAGCCTACCCATAAATTTCATATGTCATTCAATTGACCGTAACTTTGGTGTTTCTCAATGGATTTGAGTGAAATTTTGACCACACACTTCTGCTACTATGCTGGCCCTCAGGACATGATTAACAAGTTCTTGCGCCTCACTGACAGGCTTTCCAGGCCGGAAAAACTCAAATTTCCGGCATAGTGCCACGGTGTGCGAGCCACCCAGGAGCCAAACAAATGCATTTACAAATTTTTCACATTTTCGTGCCCATTCTGTCCGTGCGCGGGACCCAAACCTAAACAAGTCCAGAAGCAGCCATGGGTGATGGGGTAGGGCCCCTCAACGTGGCCCTGGAATCTGTCACAACGGAACGAGTGGGCGTTCTCTCACAGACTCACACAGACCCAAGTCAATTTTTGAATTTTTTTAGATTTAGCACGTGCTACGAGGTCGTACCTTTGATACAACATCCAGTGCTGGGACCTCCACAGCAAGCCATTTCCACAGCGCTGCACACCAAATCCAGGATACCCTCAGAAACCGGCAAAGACTACCACTCACGTTTCACTACTGCCTAGTACTGAATGCTACCTGACTTCTTGACACGACTCAAACTTGCCAAAGTCACTAAAATAATCAACGTCAACTACAATAATCAAGCTACATATCTGCAACGTCACGAGGGTGCTGGCAAAAGTCCTGCTGCACAATACGCGGTTTTAACGTGATTTTTTGGATTTTTTTGGACTTGGAGCGAAATTCTGCACACTTTCGCGTGTTTTCATGATACGACAAGCTGCGCACGGTCTGCTCACATTCAAATACAGTGCTGCCAACAAATGACAGCGTGCAACAAAAAAATCTTTCCTTGCAAGGGCACATTTTCGGCCATAACTCTTGAACGGCTGGTCAGATCGGGACACAATTTTCAGAGAATTTGCAGCTATTCATGCTCTTTCAACTGACGTAGCACTCAATATGAATTTACAAATTCGATTTTTCAGCGAATTATAGGGGTAGTCTACCACCTTTTAAAGCAGCGAGGCCCAGCATATGGGTACTTCCCCAATGATGCCAAGTCGGCCCTTGTTGTGAAGCCGGAGCATCTTCAGGAAGCAGAATCCCTGTTTGCTGACACGGCAGTCCAGATTCGCACGGATGGCTGGCGGCATCTCGGTGCGGGACTTGGGTCTCCCGAATTCTGCAAGCAATATGTCACAGAGAAGGTAGAGACATGGGCGCTAGAGGTTGGACGACTGGCTGACTTCGCCACCACTCAGCCACAAGCGGCATACGCTGCTTTTATTCATGGCCTCCGCCACAAGTGGTCGCTTGTGGCCCGGACGGTCCCAGGCATCAGCGGACTGCTAGACCCGCTGGAGCACTCCATCCGACAGCGGTTCATCCCTGCTCTAACCGGTCGCCCCGCACCTGGTGACGAAGAGCGCGCCATACTGTCCCTCCCGTGTCGAGAAGGTGGTCTTGGTCTCATTGACCCGAGGTCTTTGACGGAACAATACAATATGTCTGTCGCTGTCACCAACATCCTCGTGAGCCGGATACTGGACCAAGACGCCAACATGGACGAAGTGCCCACCACCATCCATGCTGCCAAGCTAGCTGCAGCAGCAGCAACTAGGAGAGCCGCTCGAGACCGAGTCAGTCAGCTCCTGGCCACATGTGATGCGCCCACCCAGCGAACCCTGGGGATGGCGGCCGAGAAAGGAGCGTCAAACTGGCTCACTTGCTGGCCCCTGAAGCAGTTCGGGTTTGTCCTCCACAAAGGCGCCTTCAGAGACGCACTCTGTCTGCAGTTCGGCTGGGTCCCTCCCCGCCTGCCATCCACTTGTGTGTGTGGCAAGGCGTTTAACACCAGCCATGCTCTTTCGTGCCCAACTGGTGGATACCCGGCTCTCCGCCATAACACGATCCGCGACCTGACAGCCGACCTACTTCGTGAAGTGGCCACGGATGTGAAGATAGAACCTCCTCTGCAGCCCTTGGAGGGTGAAAGGCTCCGGTATCGCTCTGCCGTCTTGATGTGGCGGCATCCGGTGTCTGGGGAAGTCGTTTTGAGCGCACGTTCGGTGATGTTCGGGTTTTTAACCCTCATGCGCGCTCGAACACTTCCTCAACTCCCGCGTCCACCTATGCCAAGCACGAACAGCAGAAGAGAAGGGCCTACGAAGAACGCGTCAGGGAGGTGGAGCATGCTTCCTTTCTCCCACTGGTATTCAGTGCATCTGGTGGGTGCGGCAAGGTAGCCCACGCTTTCCTGAAGCGTCTTGGCCATTATAGTTTCGGAGAAGCGGCATGAACCCTACTCCTCCGTCATGTCCTGGATCCGCTCCCTTGTCTCCTTTGCTTTGGTTCGATCCTGCAACATGAGCCTCCGTGGTCATCGTGCTTCTCCCTACCGCAGTCGTTTGGATGCTGCCAGTCCTGTTGTGCTGGCAGTCAACGACTGTTAGTTGCGTGACTGAGACTCTTGCGGAGTAGCCGTGTCTAGCCACACTTTTATTATCCGATGATCTTGTTTTGTTTGCTATGATTCCGTGATCTTCTGTTGGTTGCTTTTCTGCTGTGCGAATAAATGCAGTGTCCACACATAAAAAAAAGAAAAAAAGTAAGTACTCATGTGGCTGCTAAGTTCGAAAGTAACTAGTACGTACTAACTAATATTACTTACGGGGAAATACGGTATGTACAATGCCTACTGTAAATGTATTACATGTATGTGTGTGTGTGTGTGTGTGTGTGTGTGTGTGTGTGTGTGTGTGTGTGTGTGTGTGTGTGTGCGTGTGTGTGTGTGTGTGCGTGTGTGTGTGTGTGTGTGTGTGTGTGTGTGTGTGTGCGTGTGTGTGTGCGTGTGTGTGTGTGTGTCTGCTGATGCACACCAAGCGGTGCGTATTCAATGCTTGCGTTCTGTCCCTGCTGTTGTATGGCTCTGAGTGCTGGACGCCCCTTCAACATGACCTGCAGAAGCTCTCAACCTTCAGCATGAGGTGCATCCGATCCATCCTCGGAGTCTCTCGAAGCCGGATGTGGGACGGACACATCACCAATGAAGAGCTGCTGGTGCGCTGGGGAGACTCCGAGACGATTAAAGACAAAATTGCACATCGGCGGTTGGAGTGGTTGGGGCATGTGGCGCGGATGCCGGACAACCGCATCCCAAAACAGGTACTGTTTGGCTCCTTCTTGCAGCGTCGCCCAGCACATGGCCCACGCCGCAGATGGAAGGACTGTGCTGTCCGGGATCTACGTGCCCGTGGCGTGGAGGCATCATGGTATGATGTTGCATGTGAGTCCCGCGCGGAGTGGCGCAACACCTACCAAGAGCCTGACAATGTGCCTGAGCCTCCGCCCCGAGTGGTATGTACGGTATGCGGACGGGATTTTGCACGGAAAGGAGACATGGCTCGGCATAAGTGTCTGGAGGAGCGTGCGCGGCCTGTGTCTGAGCAGCGGGGCGCCAGTCAGTGCGGGCGGTGTGGGCGGTGGCTGAGAAGCCGCGGTGGCTTGGTCCAGAATGTGTGTGCCTCAACGGTGGATGCCGCAGTGCCACCTGGAACTACCGGAACGTTGGCACCGGCGGAGGGATGTTGTGCCGCGCATTGTGGCAGGTGTGGTCGCTGCTTTCGCGGTGTCCGGGGACGGGGAAGGCATCGCTGTTCAAGGGTGGCGCATAGACCAACAGCAGAGGAGCGCACAGCCTTTCAGCACGTGTGCATATGCGGCAAGCGGATGCGACTACCCGTGCACCTGGAGCGTCATCGGGCGTCGTGTCCTCTCTCTCTCTCTCTTCTCAAGTTTCCCAGTGATAGGATCACGTGACCCTTTTGCGGCAGTGACTCTACAGGACAGGACAGGACAGGTGTGTGTGTGTTTGTGTGTGTGTGTGTGTGTGTGTGTGTGTGTGTGTGTGTGTGTGTGTGTGTGTGTGTGTGTGTGCCGGAATACGGTCCTTACAAGATGCCCGATCTGGCCTCAAGCCAATCCCAAATATGGCAATCCTAGATGAGAATGGCAACATCTGTACTTCTCCGGCGGAGCAGGGACAGCGATGGTTGCGCCACTTTACCAAGGTCTACAACATCCCCAGCACATTCGACTCCGGTGTTATCGATCAGGTGGAACAGCAGGACATCGTCGAGGAGCTTGGCGAACCACCGAACCTTGCTGAGCTTCAGCGTGCGGTGTCAGCCATGAGCAATGGGAAGGCGGCTGGCGGCTCTGACATCTTACCTGAGATGGTTAAGGCCGGTGGCCCCGCTCTTATGTGTGCCCTCTTGGACCTCGTGTGTATCGTGTGGGAGGCCGAAGCAGTCCCTCAAGAGTGGGTGTGTAGCAATCTGATCCCCATCCCGAAGAAGGGCAACCTTGCCAAATGCGATAATTGGCAGGGCATTGCTTTGTTGGAGGTGGTTGGCAAGGTCGTTGCTGCCATGATTCAGCGCCGCTTGCAATCTTTGGCCGAGACCATCCTTCCCGACTCCCAATGTGGTTTTAGGAAGGGTCGGTCATGCACGGATATGGTTTTCGCCGTTCGGCAGGTCGCAGAGAAGCTCTACGAACATCGGTGCAAGGGTTTTCTAGTCTTCGTAGACCTCTGTAAGGCGTATGACTCTGTCAGCCGCCAATGCCTATGGATTATCCTCAAGAAGGCAGGTGTCCCTGAGCGCCTCATCAATATCATACGCTCTTTCCACACCAATATGACAGCAACGTTGAAGATCCCGGGAGTTGATGCGCCACCAATTGAGGTGCGGAACGGCCTTCGGCAGGGTTGCTGCATGGCACCGGTACTTTTCAATCTGTTGATGTGGGCCGTTTTCCAGCAGTGGCATCGTGCTGTTGCCGACATTCCTGGCGTTGGTATTCCTGTGGCAACAAACCCTGGGGGCAGTCTCCTATTCAGTCGGAAGTCAACAGACAAGAGCAAGGTCCATCGCGAGTGTCAATTTGCAGATGACTCTGCTCTGCTGGCTACCACTCATGATGGTGCACAGCGGGCCCTTGACCAATTCATACATGTAGCGTATTCTTTCGGCTTGACAGTCAACCTGGACAAGACAAAGGTGATGGCTGCTGGATATGGACTCGCGGAAGCAGACCGGCTGCCCCTGGACGTGGCGGGTGAGGTGGTCGAGTGTGTAGATAGTTTCCGTTATCTTGGCTCTCTCCTCCACACGAATGGCCGATCTACCCCAGATATCAGCTCGCGCATTGCCGGTGCATCACGTGCATTTGGAGCCCTGCGCCAGCCGGTTTTCACTGACAGCAACCTCTCACTTGCTACGAAGCGGCTTGTGTACGGGGCATGCGTGTTGTCTCTGCTTCTGTACTGTGCTGAGTGTTGGGTGCCGTTGAGGCCCGACCTTGATGTACTGTGCTCTTTCCATCTGCGCTGCATCCGTTCCGTGATGGGTATCAGCCAGCGGAATGTCTGGGACGAACGACTGACCAGGGTTGATGTTCTGGAGCGGTGGAATCCGCGTCAGCCCCGTGACATCCCCAGCCTGCTGACATCGCGCCGCATGGAGTGGCTTGGGCATGTTGTGCGAATGCATGAGGAGCGTGCCCCGCGTCAACTACTGTTTGGCACCCTACATCCTGTCCGTCCAATGTGTGGCCCGAGGAAAAGGTGGCGCGATGCTGCGCGGAAGGATCTGGCGGCGTTGGGCATCGACGAATGGTATGACTTGGCCCAGGATAGACGGGAATGGCGGGCCGCTTGCAGTGTTCTGCCCCCGCCCGAACCCGTTTGTGAGCCCCTGCGGATACCTTGTGCCGAGTGTGGCCGTCTCTTCTCCAGGAGTGGTTTGCCTTGCCATAAATGCCTCGATGAGCGCCGCAAACCTGTATCAGAACAGAGAGGTAGCCGACAATGTTCTTCCTGCGAGCGCTGGTTCCGCAGTGCCGGAGGTTTGGCGGTCCACAAGTGCCCCAACTCCCGGATGCTCCCCGCGACATCGTCTCGGGCTCCGTGCCGGGCGGCGGTGTCTACCATTACTGCTCAGGCGACTCCTCCGCCGCAGCGTGTGCGGCTCTCTCTCTCATGCTGCAAGGCCCACTGTGGGGCCTGTAGCCGATGCTGCCGCTCTACTCGTGGATTCCAAATCCATAGCTGCCGGAGATGGCTCTCTCGTCGTGCCGATTGAACATGGTCCCTGATCTCTCGGCAGACTGCCGACTTTCTGCCGACGCGCGTCGTTTTCCATGTTGTCGGCCCCGCGAGGGGACACGTGACCGTGATGGCAGTGTTTACCAGGACCAGGACCAGGGTGTGTGTGTGTGTGTGTGTGTGTGTGTGTGTGTGTGTGTGTGTGTGTGTGTGTGTGTGTGTGTGTGTGTGTGTGTGTGTGTGTGTGTGTGTGTGTGTGTGTGTGTGTGTGTGTGTGTGTGTGTGTGATGTATTGTACGTGTATTTGCAGCCTCGGAGTCAGACCTTCGCTCGACAAGTGCTCCTCAAGCCTCAACTGTTACATGTACGTGCTCAAGGCCGCCCTAGCTTGCGATGCCTAGGGCCTAGGCTGGCCCCTAGGCCTAGGCCCTAGCTTGCCATGCATGCCTAGGCCCTACATGTACATTAAATGACTAAATGAATAAAATGAATAAATTTTATACATAATTATGTACACTGTACATGTACACTCTAGTCATGTACATACAGTCAACTTCGCTTATAACGACATTCGGCGGGGCATCAAATAAGTGTTCTTATTCGCGAAGTGTCGTTATACCCGAAGTCTCATCATGTGTATTACAGTTGGATGGAACTTCGCTCTGGGCATGGAAAGTCTGTCGTTATTCGCGAATTGTCGTTATATCCGCAGTCGTTATTAGCGAAGTTGACTGTATGTACCGGTATCTGGGCTACACTCTACAGCCCACGTGGTGCGCGCCTGTTTTCGTAGCGCCTGCTCTCATGCTCAGCTCATATCGATCATACTCTCATTATCATAGATGATCTTAGCTCAGCAGATCAGAAGTGAGATATCTTGTCACGAGATCCTTGGCAGTTTGGGCTACTACTGACTCTAGTACTGAGTACTGTAGTCTGTATACCAGGTATACTGTAGTCTGTAGCAAGGGCGTCGGAACCGCACCGGCCATGGCCGCCCCACTTTTTCGGCCGTTTTTTTTTTTTTTTTTTTTTTTTTAGCACACTGCAACAAAGCGCGATGATCTCAGCGCAAACGTGGCAAATCCTTGTCCCCGATCGTGGTTTGTTGCAGAATCAAAAGTCCATGTAGATCTAATGGCACCAAATGCCTGGGAATGCTTGCAATTGGCTTCAATTGTTGAATTTTTTTCCCTGGGGAGGGTAATGTTTGTCCCCGATCGTAGCATCTTCTTGTTTTTTTGCAGAATCAAAAAGTCTTTCATTGTAGTTACCGTACACTGAAATGGCACCAAATGCCCGGAAATGCTAGCAATTGGCTTCAATTTTTGAAATTTTTTCCGGGGAGGACCCCCGGACCCCCCTTCCATGGCCGCCCCACCTCCAAAGTCCTTCCGACGCGCCTGTGTAGACTGACAGCTTGGCTTTGGCCCGCATGACCTGCGCAGCGTTTTGAGTGTGAGCTGCGCGTGCTCCGCTGAAAAATGAGATGAGTCGGCGATCAGGAACGCGTTACATCTTCCATGTAAACCATATGCATAGTAAACCGTACGTGCAAGGACATGTAGCTCATAGACATAGTCATAGGTAGTTTGGTGAGTACTGCACATACATGTATGTCATTGTGGTTTGGGAGCAAGAAAAAAGTATTGTAACACTCAGTCAAAGACACTGACTGAGCTGAGACAGTACAGTGTAGATTCTACATGTCACTCAGATCATGATGAATCTGAGCGAGAGAACCAGTCCAACTCCAAGTCGTTGCCCACGTGGCCACGTGGGACGTCGGATTATTCAGGGCCGTAGCAGGCGGTGCGGCAGGTCCGGCAGCTGCCGGACCAATATTCGGCCAAAAAAAAAAAAAAAAAAAAAAAAAAAAAAAAAAAGCAGGAGCTCACACATGTAAGCAGCTCCCATAATATGTGCAATAAGTAGAGGTAGTACATGGTAATAGCAAGAGGATATACATGTACTTTGAAGTTTGAACTCTAGTAGTATTCATGTGTCGTGTCCGTGTGTTTCTATCTGTATTGTATTCCGTCTGCTCCTACATGTATCTTTGTCAAGTGTTTGCCGTGGCGTCGATGTGTCTCGTCTATGAATAGCGTTGGGAAACCTATCACTATTCATGCTTTGCTGGCTTGCTGCTCGCTCGCTTCGCTCCTTCAGCTTGCACGCTACTATAATTATAGCAGTATATAGGTCGATGCTTTGCGTCGATGGGTTGTTGTTGTTGTTGTTCTTGTTGCTTCTCTGTTGCTTGGAACTTGGTCCTGGAGTGAAGCTTTGGTCTTCTTGTGTGGTGAGGGTGAGGAATGGGTATCTGGACTCCTGGTATATTTCCGTAAAGAACCTGGAATCGTAGAATCCTGATAGTATGTCTGGCCCACTCCCCGGTCATGACATTTGGCGACCACGCCAGGATGTCCAGTGCCACTAACATTCCGAACCCTCGGCAGCGAGAGGGAGCGCTGCCAATAGCCATCGCCACCATCACCAACGCGTCCGTCCTGGGTACGACGATAAACTGCACCCTGGCGACCGCGGTTGGTCACCATCACCAACGCGCCCGTCCCGGAGCATGACGATAAACTGCTGGACGTAGCCAGAGCTGGAGAGGAGGTACATCGAGGAAGTCAAGATGAAGGCAACACGCAAACGGGAGCCGCGGATTTCAAGTGAAGTTAGTTCGGGTCAGTTACCAGTTCCTGGACACGTTTCTGGCCTTGTCACCCGTCTAGTCTTGATTTGTCTTATTATAATAGTTCATAATGATAGTAACACAGAAGCAATCCCTGCAGGCTGACCAATAGCTTGTTCGAACGTAGTTGTAACGGCATAACCTATTTTTCTAACACTGCTGTGGCGGAGAGTCTGTGCAAGACTGGCGCATTATGTTTTCTTTGGTTCTTGGGTCGGAAGAGGTTGGTTCCTTCCTTTCAAGTTTTCAAGAGTTTTATTATTTTGCTTTCTTTTTCAGTGCCGTTACTTTTCTTCTGTTACGAGGACGTAACATGTTCGTAGGCGGGGGATATGTCGTGTCCGTGTGTTTCTATCTGTATTGTATTCCGTCTGCTCCTACATGTATCTTTGTCAAGTGTTTGCCGTGGCGTCGATGTGTCTCGTCTATGAATAGCGTTGGGAAACCTATCACTATTCATGCTTTGCTGGCTTGCTGCTCGCTCGCTTCGCTCCTTCAGCTTGCACGCTACTATAATTATAGCAGTATATAGGTCGATGCTTTGCGTCGATGGGTTGTTGTTGTTGTTGTTCTTGTTGCTTCTCTGTTGCTTGGAACTTGGTCCTGGAGTGAAGCTTTGGTCTTCTTGTGTGGTGAGGGTGAGGAATGGGTATCTGGACTCCTGGTATATTTCCGTAAAGAACCTGGAATCGTAGAATCCTGATAGTATGTCTGGCCCACTCCCCGGTCATGACATTTGGCGACCACGCCAGGATGTCCAGTGCCACTAACATTCCGAACCCTCGGCAGCGAGAGGGAGCGCTGCCAATAGCCATCGCCACCATCACCAACGCGTCCGTCCTGGGTACGACGATAAACTGCACCCTGGCGACCGCGGTTGGTCACCATCACCAACGCGCCCGTCCCGGAGCATGACGATAAACTGCTGGACGTAGCCAGAGCTGGAGAGGAGGTACATCGAGGAAGTCAAGATGAAGGCAACACGCAAACGGGAGCCGCGGATTTCAAGTGAAGTTAGTTCGGGTCAGTTACCAGTTCCTGGACACGTTTCTGGCCTTGTCACCCGTCTAGTCTTGATTTGTCTTATTATAATAGTTCATAATGATAGTAACACAGAAGCAATCCCTGCAGGCTGACCAATAGCTTGTTCGAACGTAGTTGTAACGGCATAACCTATTTTTCTAACACTGCTGTGGCGGAGAGTCTGTGCAAGACTGGCGCATTATGTTTTCTTTGGTTCTTGGGTCGGAAGAGGTTGGTTCCTTCCTTTCAAGTTTTCAAGAGTTTTATTATTTTGCTTTCTTTTTCAGTGCCGTTACTTTTCTTCTGTTACGAGGACGTAACATGTTCGTAGGCGGGGGATATGTCGTGTCCGTGTGTTTCTATCTGTATTGTATTCCGTCTGCTCCTACATGTATCTTTGTCAAGTGTTTGCCGTGGCGTCGATGTGTCTCGTCTATGAATAGCGTTGGGAAACCTATCACTATTCATGCTTTGCTGGCTTGCTGCTCGCTCGCTTCGCTCCTTCAGCTTGCACGCTACTATAATTATAGCAGTATATAGGTCGATGCTTTGCGTCGATGGGTTGTTGTTGTTGTTGTTCTTGTTGCTTCTCTGTTGCTTGGAACTTGGTCCTGGAGTGAAGCTTTGGTCTTCTTGTGTGGTGAGGGTGAGGAATGGGTATCTGGACTCCTGGTATATTTCCGTAAAGAACCTGGAATCGTAGAATCCTGATAGTATGTCTGGCCCACTCCCCGGTCATGACACATGTACATGACTGTCATGTACATGTTGTTGCGAATACCATGTACATAGATCCATGCGGGTGTTGTCCTGTACTTTATGACCTCCTGCCATTCCTCCATTGCAATGTCCTTTCTCCTCCTCCAAGGGACCAAAGGTCCATTTTTGGTTCTTTTATCACATACGTTTAGATACTGTTGCTATGCCTTCATAGGCTTTAACAAGTTCTGTTTGGACGGACACAACATGCTGATGCCCTTTTCCCTGACTCATGCAGAACATCCTTCTTCCTTTTCTCGCCCTATGTCACTCTGCATGGTCACGATTACATGCATGTACATACACGTACAATCATGTACATTTTGTACCTGTACACCGGCATATGTCACGGTAGGACTACTAGGAGTGTGGGCTCGGGGGGGGGGGGGGGGGGTCGAGGATCTTGCCGGACCAACCAAAATGGGGCTGCTACGGGCCTGTTATTTAAATCATTGGAGTCTACGATGAGTGGCGCCTGAGTCATGGTCCATGGACCTGTCGCGTGGAATGGCTACAGTACGAGGTGATTCGTAATTTTTTAACATTGAGTCATTTCTTAACAAATCGGTAAAATATCTCATTGCCAGCGCATGCAAAAAGTCATGCCAAATTTCTTTTTGCCATTGCCATTGCCAATGTTCTGTCAAGTTCGCCTCCAAAATTGAGACTGATATTCCTTCAGGAAGTGACATTGCAAGAGCTTTCAGTCTGCATGTGCGCGATGTTTACGGTAAAATAGAGTATAAGAGAGTCATAGCCGCTGGTTTTAACCTCCAGTGACAACACATTTAGCTGAAGAGGAAGCATATGATAGCTACATACTGGAAACGACGCCTGGGAAGGAGAAATGTCGATGTGTTGGCCCTGGTATTGGCCAAACATTGGCAATTACTGAATTTACTCACAGATGTTGATCACAATTGGATATGAAATCAGGGTGATACATCTATTGCTATGCAAGCTTGAATGGCTTGTATTTGGATGAACATATTCTTGATCCAGTCTTTCTGGACCATCCTGGACATGTAGGGTCCCTTTCTATTGAAAACTGACTTGAAATTGTGGTGCTAAGGCCTATTTTACCGTGATGTTAAGAAATGACCACAACAAATAATATGCAGAAAAATTGCCATTTTTCAACTGCCCCCTGCTTTCCAACACCAAGGATTATGTGAATGAACAACCCACCATTGCAATCTAAGGATACCAGTATTACATTTTTAGGGGAAGAAATTGAAAGGTTCGCACCTCGAACCCTACGGAAGGCTATTTTACTTTCGTGTTAAATAATGACGAATCACCTCGTACAGGCTAGGGATAGCGCTAGTACAGTCCAGACAGACGTCAGTATGACACAGGCATGAGACCACACAGCTAGACCTGTAATAGGCTGTATTGACTGCAGTGCACTGGTACATGGTAAGGGTAGGTCACCATGGTCACTTCTACTAATAAGTCTATACTCTACAAGGCTACATGACAGTACAGCGTGGTACTCCACGTGCACTCAACGATCCAGGCCGCCTGCTCACGTGACATGTCAGTCACAAAACGATCAAGTCACGTGTGCGAAGTGCACGATCATGTACGTCGATGATCGATGGGTCCCGTGACAGCAGCAATCACAGTAAATCGCACCCCCGAACTCCGAGTCCAGAGCTAGCGGACTGCACAGGAAAATAGAAAAAAGAAAAGATATCCGAAAACAAGAAAGAACTATAGCAGGTGGATACCCTGGCGGGAAACAGGACGCAACATCGCGGCAATGAGCTACTTTGCCCAGAACCGTGTGTAGGAATACCGGATAGCCCGAGCAGCAGCCGCAAACTTACTCTAGATCTGTGCGGAACTAATCATTTGGGAGATAAAGTTTTTTGAAAATAGTGTTGCCAGAACACCCCTCATTTGTTATCCTTGAGGGACATCAGAGTTTGTAGAAAATGGGCGATGAAGCGACCACGTCGCTGACCTTTGTCAGTACCTCTGCGTACCATGGCAGTGAAAATGCTCCCGCACAGGGCAAGGTCATAACTGCAAGAACTGGTTCGGGCACGGAGGAGTTTGGTATTGCAAGCGGTGAAGTGGAGTATACAGGCGAACGCAAACCACTGCTTGGCAAGGGAGCCGACACCGGTGCACCGTCGGATGGCAAGGGCGCGCTAGCCCGCGACCTCACGCTGATCAATGCAATCGGTCTGGTGGTGGGTTCGATCATAGGTTCCGGAATTTTCATCACACCCAATCAGGTCTTGGAGCAAACTGGCTCAGTGGGTGTCTCATTCTTTGTGTGGATTGGCTGTGGAGTTTTGGCCATTGGTGGAGCATTGTGTTTTTGTGAGCTGGGTACCAGTATACCTAATGCTGGAGCAACTTATGCGTATATACTACGCGCATTTGGAGGTCTGCCGGCTTTCCTCTACATTTGGACTGCGGCGTTTGTCATCCGTCCGGCATCGCGTGCGATTATCAGCTTGGCGTTCGCTGAGTATCTTTCTCGGCCGTTCTACGGTCCTCAAAACAACAACCTACCCAACTCGTCAAACTCGACACTCAACTTCACGTTGATGGAGGGCGGCCCGGATGATGATTTTGACCCGCGGGAGGGTCCAGCTCCCGTGTGGCTGGTAAAGCTACTCGCAGCACTCTGTGTCAGTAAGTTCGAGCACAACTCTACGGTCGTGTCTTAAATAGGAGTGCTGAACCCGCTATAAACACAGTTTGACTGGAGATTTTACATGATGCATTGCGCTTGGACCGTGTCGAAATCTCCGTGGGTTGATTCCATCACCCCCCCCCCCCCCACACACACACACACATGGAGGGTTGGAATCGAGAAAATGTGTTACACTACCTTTGTGTGTGTTTACACCAGCATTGCACAGCCTTGCACCGGCTTGCACAGCATTACACAGCCTTCCACAGCATTTCACATGCAAAATCCTGTCAAAGTAGTCATATGACCACACAGGTTTAGAGAGATGGCCTTTGTCGACATACAGTCTACTAGTATCAGTAATCGACCATGGTCAACTCTCTTCAGTGGTGGCCCTGTTTGTGCACTTTGCAAACATTTCAAGTTCCTGATCAGTATTCAGCATGACCAGCTCTTCACTGGCTCCGCTGACGTCTTCATGCTGGTACACGATACAGAGGCTGGAAAACGCAGGGTGATGACTAGCATTGAACTGCACAGCTTGTCGGATACAACCCACGTACTTCAGTACTCCCCACACACATCCTGGCCAGTATAAAATAGTCTCGGTCCAAAGAGGCTTATATTTTTATTTATTTAGTACTATGTTCACATGCCCAACTCGTGAATAATAATGAAAGACAATGGTACAAAGACTAAGATAAACATGACAACTACTGAGCTGGGGCTGCACCTAGACGCAGCAGTGATGGTGGGGCGTTGATGGCTCTGCCGACCTGCTGTGACCCATCATCCTGTACTGGGTATTCCCAATCAAACTCTCGCACACGCAGTTCACCACACTCTTCTTGTGACATATCTGAGACAGCAGCCAGAGATGCATGCCTAGATGGTGAGGGCACATTAGCCGAATTTGGAGGCGGTTCGAAATTGAGTGGAAACTATACGATGCGGAAAGCAAACTAAGAACCTAAGGGATGTTTTAGATAATGAATGCCCTGAAGTCATTATCAGAGACATGCTCCACAGATGCAATACTTATCTGTGTGTAGTCATGGATCGTACATTGTTCACACGTGCTGGCGAAGCAGTGTGCATTGTGCCTAAAAAATGTGTCAAGAAATCTCTATGGCACAATTTCAATCGCTGACATTTTATTGGGCAGCGGGAAGATTGAGCGGTGATACTTCACATACTATGTGTGATGAACGAATGGTGTGTTTTTGTTTTCTCCCCAACCTCTAGCTATCCTATGCCTAGTGAACATCTACGGTGTCAAGTTGATGGCCAAGGTTCAGGATATCTCCATGGTGGTGAAGCTGCTGGCTATTGTACTGCTAATCATCACTGGATTGATATACATTGGGCAAGGTTGGTTACAGAGCTTCCTACTACTAACTTTGTCAGTGCATGAACTCAGCCGCTTGATAAAATCTTCAATACATTTGGGGTCACACACGAAAAGGGAAGTGGTATCTTCAGAAATTAGCACCTCGTGAAAATTAACGTTGAATGCCAATTTTGCGCTACAATGGCGCTGTTCTAGAAGTAAGGTAAAGCCCTATAGATGCACCCGGTGAGTGGGGACCAAACGCTGTCGGCACATGTACCACTCCTGTCGCTCAAGAATCAAGATAGAAAGTTTCCCGGCCTGAGCCCTGGTGCTTGGGCTCCATAAATAAAATATCCAGCTATGAAGTATTTTTTCAAATAGTGAGAATGAGCAGTTCTGCTGAGATCATTGAAAGAAACCACTGTTGTGATTAGTTGCTGGATAACAGGAGCTATTTCTGGTGATAGAGTATGCGCCCGTCTCAGAATCTGGCATAGCTCAAAACTTGTCAAATTTCTCCCTCCAGTAAAATGGCTAAGGAGATATTAGTGTTGCTGAAGAGGCAGTTTTGTCAAAGTATGTCAACCTGGTATCACTTAGGTGTAGTAGTAGTAGTAGTAGAATTTATTATTTTACTAGGGAACTCCCAACAGGCGTTGCCTTTTTACTGGGAACCCTAGGAATGGCTTGGTGCTTGTGACAAATGCAGAAAGGTGCTGCCGGATATACTGTAATTTCACAAATATTTCGGTGTACTTTTATTTTCGGTACTTTCGGTGCGTTTGTTTCATACCTAAAATTCCAATGCACCGAACAAACATTAACACATATAATCCAATAGGGAACTGCTTCTCTGTACCAAAAATTTCTGTTCACCTAACCTTGCCTTTTGTCCTCATACCGAAAATATTGAGCACCTAAAATTTCCGAAATTAGAGTAGCTGCTTTCGGCTAGGAGTTGCTTTTCATACGGTTTGTGTTGGTGCTCGGGACACAGGGAACACCGAGAACATCAAGAACTTCATGAACGGCACTGATGTGTCTGCAGCCAGGTTAGGAAAGGCCTTCTATGGAGGACTGTGGGCGTACGATGGATGGTGAGTTGACAGAAATTTACGATGTGGTATAAAAAAGGCTGTGCAATTTTTTTGGTATAGGTGGTTGGAGCGTTGGATTTCCAAACGTGATGTGCAGCGGGTTCAATTCTGCTGGTAGGCGCACATGCTTGTGCGTCTGGCTCAAGCAAACTCATCTGCTAGCCGATTATGCTCATATCGTTGCAAACAAGATCCCCCGGGGTTAGGGTGCTAACATGTTCCGCTGAGCCCTACTTCAAGCACCAAGCTCCGACACAAACAAGCCATAGCAATACACAATCCGCACATGCAGACTTGCAGAGTGAAACAAGTGTTGCTTACTGCCAGAGATGGCCGTGGTGGAAGCTGTACAATGGAAGATTATTGTCACGGGCCTCAGCAGTTTCCTATAATATTTTCCAGAGTACAGCAATCACTTGCTGACTTGCTCGTTGGCAGTACTGAAATACCAGGCCTGGTGTACATAACGGATTGCTTTTTCTCAATGCATGGTTACCTTGGTCAATGCAGGGTTAACTTGCTCGGTGACTGGATTCCTCGCGGCTTGCTCTGTGTTCTTGTGTGACTGTGCCATGATATAGGGACACGTTATTCTTTGCAGCGGAAGAGGTGAATAACGTTGGCAAGTGAGTCCTACTGTACATAGATACAGTCTATCTGCTCTCGTATCTACTTGTTGAGTTTTTGTTTTTTTTGTTTTTTTTTGGTGTGTGTGTGGGGGGGGGGGGAATTTTCATCGGCCTTTATAGCTTTGGTTCAGTCAAATCGAAATGCCAGTGACAGGAAATGGGCAAGGTCAACTTTGCTCCAAGCAAGTGATGTTGAAAATTTCCTTGAATGAGGAATTGAATACAATGGTAACCTATGACTCTATGATGCGTCTAGTGTTGACCCACACATCTCATGTTGGGAGGAGACTGAGTACTCGTTACTTGCTAACAGAAATTCTGCACATGCCGGTGTGTGCATGTTTGTATGTGCGTGTGTGTGTGTGTGTGTGTGTGTGCATGTTTTACGTGTGTACATGTGCATATATGCATGTGTGTGTGTGCGTACATGTATTTGTTGCAGGATATTCCCATGGGGTATCAAGATCGGCATGGCTATAGTGATCTTTGCCTACATATTGGCCAACATAGCCTACATGTCACTGCTCTCTGCTCAGCAAATCATTGAAACAACCGTCATTGCAGTGGTGAGTAGCACTGTTATGTAATGTGTCTCTACTTCTATATCACTCTCGTGCCTGAGCCGTGTCTAACGTTCTGAGTCACATACTGGGAACTGCATTGTTCCAGCTATTGTAATGTAGTGAACGATGCTTCTTTAATCTTTATGCCCAGAGTTTCTTTGGATTAGACTATTTCAAATTTTTCATTTTGATTTCATCACCGGGTTTCATCCCTTGTATATTTGGTGTTCTTCCTTCTTTCCATGTCGTATTGTTTGGATAAACCCGTTTTATAAGCTTCTTTATGCCAACACTTGGATGAACACTGCTGAGCGAACAGAACAGTTTAGTACACGCAGCACCTATAGTAATGATTCCAACCGCCCACCCACTACTCTCCTCCTGGTTCATATCCTTCCTTACTACAGTCATCCTATTGTACTGTATGCATTTGTTTTTAGGATGCGGTGGATCCCGTCTTGAAGACCGCTGGCGCAGTCTACATCATGCCATTGTTGGTGGCTGTGTCCACGTTCGGAGCTACCAATGGTGCTACGTTCACGGCCGGAAGGTAACTTGTTAGCTTGTACAAGTATACCTGTATTTCTATCCCTCTACCCCTCCCTCTCCCCCCCCCCCCCCCTCCCTCTCCCTCTCTCCCCCCCCCCCCACCCCCCTCCCTCTCCCTCTCCTGCTCTTCCCTGTCTCTATGAATCATGTGAAACAACTACAAGGAGGCTTGTTGCAATGAAACATGCTCCCAATCACGCATAATTTCGTTCTCTTTCCCCACTGCAGACAAACGTTTTCAGCGGCACGAGAGGGAAGCTTCCCGACCTTCCTGTCCGCCGTACACAACAAGTACAAGACACCGATTTCCGCACTCATCTTCCAGGTACTGGAGTGAGCTGAAAATAGTACCAACCCGTGGAGTGTCTGTTAGAATGTTGATGCACAACGCCATTATTATGCAATTATACTTCAGAATTCTGGCAGTTTTCACTGCTGTATCCAGTAGTGCAAGCCTGATTTCACGCTGCCGCTGTACAGAGTCTCTACATCAATCTACATTCACACATGTGCTGGCGCTGGTTAGTTTTCTCACCAGTGAACTGGATGACTGGACTGCCGGGGTGATTTACCAGTTTGAACTGATATGGAATGTGTTCAACAACTCAAGCCCCTCTCCGATGTCTTTGTCGGTTTGTTCAGGCAGTGCTGGCTATTTTCTATCTCATCCCTGGCGACATTGGTAACCTGGTGGACATCTTTAGTTTTGCGTCCTGGGTCTTCTATGGTACCTGCTTTGTGGGCCTGATTGTCTTGCGATTCAGAGAGCCACACTTACATAGACCTTACAAGGTGAGCTAGTTGATGGTCTATACTCGAACTGTCCATGCAAGGTGCATTGCTGCATGTCTGTTTGGCTCAATGTCTGAGTCCCTCTCAGCGTCTCCCCCTCTTCCCCTCCTTCTCTCTCTCTTTCTCTCCTCTCTCTCTCTCTCTCTCTCTCTCTCTCTCTCTCTCTCTCTCTCTCTCTCTCTCTCTCTCTCTCTCTCTCTCTCTCTCTCTCTCTCTCTCACACACACACACACACACACACACACACACACACACACACACACACACACACACACACGCTCTCTCTCTCTCTCTCTCTCTCTCTCTCTCTCTCTCTCTCTCTGTCTCTCTCGGACCAAGTATTATTTGACCTGGCTCTAGAACATGAGTATCAAATCTACACACGCATTTGTTGACAAGCATAAAGAACAGCTGGAACAAGCTACCAGGGATGGGCGGTACTCTGGTAGTGTAGCAACGCTAAATTACAGCGTTCTGAATCAAGCCTATGCAGTGGACGGCTTCAAGTGACTATGATTGGGGGCAGAGACTGAACTGTTTCCAGTCTCTCTACATGATGTGATCAGTCAGCCGATACTCATAGCTATTTGAGGACTCTCCGAAGTTTTTTCCCAGGAGCAGGGCTGACTGGATCCAACGAATATTTCTGGCGAAAAATAAAATGTTTTTACGCGTTTGTGGGTAACAATCTCTGTCCATAGAATGGTTTGGAAGAAACTGTATCCATTTAGTCGAGGGGTCACTAATCCCTCTCGGTACATATTCTGATATAGTTATAGTGCCTGCTCTTTGGTTCTGTTTTTCTCAGGTCTTCATCGTCATACCCTTCCTGATGACTCTGGCAGCCGGATACCTGGTTATTGCGCCCTTCTTCGACGACCCGTACAATTCTCTATACGTATCGGCAGCCATTGCAGCCGGCGCTCCAGCATACTTCATCTTTACATATCCTCGCACCAGTCCGGATTTTCTACACAGCATCTCAGGTAAGATTAAACTGACAACACAAACAAATTGAACTGATGGCCTTTGAGAAAGTGCTTCTGTTATCCATTACTTCGTTCATTCAGACTATATTTGAAGGATTCTCCCAAAAAAGTAAATGGATACTTATCATGGGAGTTTCCTGGAAGGGTGGATGGGATGAAAGGGAGGTGAAAATTATGTTTTGCCGGATACAAAGCGGACATTTCTTGTTCGTCTCTCTTGGTAGCTGTGCTGTTGAGACAATGAACACCAATGAATACATCTTTATCAATGCTGCTGATACAGATGGAAATGCTAATAGAGAAAGAATAACTAAAACAAGTACAATAATTATACCACTAGTGCAGCCAAAGTAATTGTCGTACTATATGGGACCCTTTCCAGATGCCCCAAAATTAGTCGATTTGCTCGTGTGATAGGGTAACGTGGCTGGGGAAACCGTACCACTGTACTTCGAAATGGTCTTGCATATCCAGACATTCTGTTTCCCCGAAGAAGACCAGTATGTCGAAACGGGTTACTTCACGCGTGATCAGCTTTGTCTCGCTGTAGATGGGTGTATATCGGAAAGTTTAAGTCAAACGTGATCAGCTCCTTCCGCCTGTAGAATATCCAGTTACTTTCCTCTCGAGCATCCATTTCGCCTTATCTTTTGGGATTTTCTGTCAAAAGTAGAAAGGTCCTTGTCTAGACAGGTTTTCGGATGGAAAGTGATTTTTTGGAAATTTCTTACAAGTACAAGTATGCCTCTCGTAAAAATGAGCCAGTGTGTGAGAACCGTGCAGGGACCTCAGGGATATGTATGACCGTAGAAATGAGAAAACGAGCCTCGAGCTCGTGTCTCAGGCTTTGGATAGTAAGTGAAGTGAGACATTTTAGAGCTGGTCGGATAGCGGTGAATAGGAGAGTGTATGTCAAATTTGTTGAGCTGGATTTTCCATTGGGTTTCTTGGTTATCTGCATGAGTGACGGAAATTCGTTTAAAGCTCGAAATTGTCAACCATACTAGTGCTCTCCTGCTAAGCCACAGTCCCTTCTCATGTTCTATCTCAAATTCTTGGCCAGATGTGCTGACACGCTGGACCCTGATGCTGTGCCGATCCACTCTGCCCGCGGCTGATCTGGACTTCTAACTTTACCGGCCACACATCAAACACGGATAGATTTCAACACATGGATTAGATTTGATGCCTTTGAAGTTTTCTTCCAAATACTATACACTCAGTGTCTGATGAATTTATTTTGAATGGACATTTTACTTTCTTGGTCAAACGGAATTTATAGAAAGTTTATGCTTTTAAGAGTTATGAGTATCTAGCATATAAATGTTTGATGTGGAGTTGGAGAAATGAAGCATCAATCATAATAATATGTACATGTATTGTATGATCTGTTTGAGCATTACATTGTATATTATCCTTTGAATAATTCACTGATGTATTCGATATTACTCACGTTTCACATTGCCTATCATTTTCTTCATTTCCATTTCTACTTGTATGAATTGATAGAGAGCTGATTGTTTACAATCGGGCTATTTCTTTGAAATTCTTTGAATTTGAAGAATACGACTTACGTAAGATGGCTTGTTTTTCGAATGTTCCCTAATGTTGATTATAATATTATTCTGGATACTTACACCGGTGTATGAGGATCATTCCAAGGTGCACCTGCATGGTATGTATGTACATGTATGTATAATTTTATTTGAATTCTCAAGTACACACGGGCTACAAGCCCAATTACATGGAAGCGAATGTGATATGTACAGTACTAGTCAGTAGCTTAGCTTGGAGACCGTGCAGCTGGGGTAGGTGTGAAAGGAAAGCATGAGCTCCCGTCTGTTACTGTGTTAGTAAACAATCTTTTTGACAAATGACTTATGCCAGACTTGCATGTTCTTCAGTACGACTGTTACCATGGTTGCCGTAATCTCGCGCATACAAGACCATGAATGCGAGAGACAAACATCACATTGACATGTACATGATTGTGCAAGTACGCATATTATTGGTGAATGCCAGCACAATGCCAATGGGACCATGATGAACCTCGTGTAGTTTTGGGATTTTCATTCACTTATAAGTGCAAGTTCTTATAAGCGTGAGTGCTCTTATATTCGAAAATAAGAACATGTCCTTCAATGCGCGAGATCACGGTAAGTACATTTCGTCGAAGGATTTGGATCGTTGTTATATAGTACCGTATTATCTCTAATATAAGCACAGTCTCCAATAATAGTACACCTTGGGGCGGCATTCAAAAAATAAAGTGCTCAGTCACACACTGTCTATCGGTACCTGGTAAAATGCATGTACCCAAAATGCAGTACCGGCGAAAAAACCCTGAAATGTGTGTGTCTGACATGAATTTGGCACGGCAACATGCCTCTGAAATGAGGTTGAAATAATAATCATGATAATGGAACAGTCTCCAATAAAGGAACGTCTCGGGGTGGAGGTAGAGGGGACGGTTTCAAATAGGACACAGGTTGCAAACCGGAACGGACTCAATATTCACTTTCTCTCTTGGTATTTTGATTAGAAAATATATTATGTCACAGTGAGACTACGATGTGTTATACTCCGAGCCAAAATTTCATGGCTCTGCGATGACCAGAAGCGCCATATCAAGCAGGTGAGTTTTTGACGTGTTGCTTCGCACTGCGACTTGAGTTTTACGACTTTCGAAAAATCAACTTCTTGTCGCAGGTAAACAGCGGCTCGCCTCTCGCCAATAAAGCACCGCATACCAATCAAAACTAATGGAAGCACACACAAGGCTTATTGTTACTCTGTACTGGCCGTCGTGGAGCGATAGCAATTACCTAATTTCAGACCCAGAGTGAATTTGACGTGCACTCTAAAACGTGTCCGGTTTGGAGCCACCTCTGATTCGAACTTTTTTAAAACGAAAAATTGGGCAACTTGGAGGCAATGGGTCAACACAAAGGAGTGGCTGAGTTCGATTGACTCTGGCCCCAGAGCAAACTTCAACATGCCAATTTCCTTCCAGAAACATATTTCGAGTGAAAAATCAACGCTGATGATCGGTTTGGGTCTATACAAATTTGGCTGTCAAAGCGTCCCGGTATCGAGCCGTCCCCTCTACATTGAAAAATAGAGGACCGTGCTTATATTAGAGATAATACTGCAATGAGGTTTGTCTTGTAACGATGTCGTACTACTGCTCAGGGTGGACCTGTATAATAGGTATTAGGCCATCATTTTTTATATCCATGTTTCGCGTCGTCCGCACGCATACGTTTTGATTTTTTTCGGAAAAAAATAAAAAAATCAATCATGCACACAGTTTAGTGTACGATCGTGCGAGTCATCGGTACCGCGGTGTTGACTGCATGGTTGCATACGGCGAGACTGGGAGTCAGAAATGGCCTCGAGGCCAGCGTTGGTAAATCGTTTGTTCGGCATCTGCGAGCAGTATTCTATGAGCTTACAACAGACCGCATCGGTTGCCTCAAGCTGAGAGGATACGTCGTTCCGGAGCTCTTTGCACCGCTGCTGAAGGCTGAGTACAATAATCCAGCGAAGCAAGGGCACCAACGGTTGCCTCCTCTGTCCAAAGTGATGCAGATTTTGTGCTTCGATGTACGATTTTTCTTTCGAATGTACACCATGCACGATCTATTGAGTATTATGCTATGTACAGTTAATTCTATACACCTCTGATGAGCCTTTTTATTATTTTGCAACTTTTATTTTTTTCCACCTCTCGCATATGATTCTGGAAGTTGAACTGACGCGAAACATAGATATAAAAAATGATGGCCTTACCAGAACTTTGAAACTCCACTGGTGCATGGTGCCTTGTCATATATCCCTGATGATGCCCTCCTGGCCCTCCTGGGTGAACATTTGGACACTGCACGTAGTGTAGCCAAGGAGTGTTGGTGTGTTGCAGGGAATTGGGCCGGTATACTGAAAATTGTATTACCAATACATGCACAATGTCATAACGGTTATGCACTCTTGGTAATACACTACTGTTCCTACAATTACCGGCATCATATTGTAGAAGTGAGAACACTAGGCTGGCGGTGCGAGTAAGGCTTCGTTGACACTTTGTATCTCCCGATCCCAAGGAAAGGCGGTACTCGTAGTTCTGCAAATCTGGTGCGAACTCCACCTCGCCCATGCCCATCCATCATGTTGGCAACAATGCAAGAACAGGCTTGCTTGTTGTATCCTTGGCTCTCGGCCGTTACTTTATCGCCATCATAATATTGGGCACCATTGCCCGTTTGGTCTGCGATACAAAATAAAATTTCAACTGTGAGTGCTAATTTTGACGTTCCAAGTCAGCAGTGTGGTTCAAGTCAACATCTTATTCGACCACGGCAAATAATAATAAATTCTTGCACTAGTAGTAGTACTAGTAGGCTTTGCTGAGAGCGATGTGCGTGCAAACGTTGATAATGATGTATCCGTGACTCAGCAAGCAAGCCTTGATCATACCAGGTTGACGAGAGATGGTGTCTTATTTATGTTGCTCGACGCAATGATTATCTGGCGCTTCTAAGTTCTATGATGTAGTTTGCCAGTCAATAGGCATAGACTCGTAGTCATACTGCAGAAAGTTCAGAAGTGGACCAATGCAGTGCTGGAAAACCATCAGTCCATGCAATCATTTCTCCATGATGCAGTCATTGTCTGCTTGTACTTCACCATGTTCACCGAGCATTCCGAAGCAAAGTTGTTGTTCCCTGCAAAAAAAATGATCAGCGTTTGGGATTGGAACATAATGGAGATACCCAAGAATCAGATTTGACTCGAGTGATACGTGTACATGTACATGTAGCTGCTCTGAATGGAGATCGCTTGAGCGGAAGGTAAGCATGCACTGATACATGTACTCCCAATCGTAACCACGTACCTGTGGTAATTTGTTCAAATTGAAACTCTCCAGTAAAATAGAGGGATTCTTGAATTTATTGCTTATGTACTATAGGATGAGTTTTAGTTTAGTTTTAGTTTTAGTTTTGTTCCAAGCAATACATGGCTGGGGCAGCCAATGACCACTTTGCGTGGCGATTGCAGGGTTTTTATAGCTGGCCACGGCTAGAAAGGAAAATAATACGAAGCTATATCACATGACGGTGTATTGATGCAATAAACACACACACACACACGCACACACACACACACACACACACACACACACGCACACACACCACACACACACACACACACACACACACACACACACATGCACACACACACACACACATGCACGCATGCACACACACACACACACACACACACACACACACGTTCGCCTCTGAATGTAATCAATTACAATGCATTTAATCGACTACAGTGCATTTCCTACTATTTGATGAAACATTTGTTTAGCAAGCAACATGCCCCATTGTGCAGACAACCGTTGTAATCTCTTTATTAAATGGCAGGCAGTCTGTCTGCTTAGGTAGGATTGTACAGTCATATACATGATTGTATGTTGGGGCATGGTCTTATAGCCAGGGAGTAGAGTTTGAGATAACTAGCCTCAAACTACAGGTGATCTTTCTGCACAGATGACATAAGTAGGCACCGGCAGATTATGCCGGCTTAATTATTGGCATAATTCGGTGGTTGAAATTTGGAGCATAATTAGGCATCCTTTTGGAGGTAGGAGCATAACTACATGTCCATGCGCAGATTGTGTACATGGTTGTGCCACAGTTCTACTATGTAGGCTACCGAAGTGTGTACAATGCACCTGGTCAGTGCTGGTGGTCTCTATGGTCAAGGGTTTAGTGGAGGTCATGCAGATAGTTTTTCAATGAAAAGCAGGGTTAAATCATGGCAGTACATTATTGTATGCTCGAACTCGTCTTCTTCAAAGCTCTTTCGCACACTGATAGAGTACATGTAGCAGAAGATGCGAGCGAATCAGCCTTTATCAGGTATCCCAGGGCGGACGAAATAGTGACGGGTAGTCTGCAAAACTCCGCATACATGTACCATTATGCATGATATGAATTCATATCCTCTGGACTTTAGCAGCCATGAGACTGTGCAGGCTATGGACATTGCTCTAATATTAACTCATATCATAGGGGATTCATAGCATAATTCCATGATTTCGCGAGCATACATGTACATGTAATCCGCCGGAGCCTACGCATTTTTTTTGTGGCATAAGTCCATCGTCTGGCTCAGGCCGGCTGCCGGGCTGGTCACAAAGTTACCAGCGCACATTCTCGGGCCCAGTCCAGTATGAACTCTCCATGGTCCCTCGTGTGCGCGTACACATGACCCTTGCACCTCTTTCATGTTGAAAAAAAGTGTTTTGATTCTTGATCATTTTTCCATATTAGTGCTCGTATCTGCCTCCCTGCTATAGCACCTTCCTGTGTCAGCTACTGATCTGATATCTATATGAATCAGCACTATAAATCACATTGTGGAAAGGTGTAGGCATCATCAGCAAACAGGTACATGTACATGCAGAGGTCATGTATTTGGCTAGCTGCCATACCCACCCCCTACTACTAGTGCAGTCTGGATGCATGCTGTGTTTGTCCTGGACTCGTAAGCCCAAGCCAGCTCACACCCATCA